GGATTTTGCAGTTGTTCGGTAGTGAAATTCCAAAGTACTGGAGGGGCCCACTGACCTAGATACTTGCCCATACTATCCCACACACCCTGCCACTCATGGCTGTCCAGCCTCAGGGAAAATCTCTCGGTCCTCCTACATCGTCGTCTGACCCCAGACAAGACCCAAACCTGAATCTGCTTAACTCTTGAAATCAGTAGTGGGTAAAACACACTCTGTATGCGTGTTAGCATGGTGATTCCCATCACCATCAGCAAACAAGTCTCAACAGCATTAAAAGGCCATTCAAAAAATTCAAAACTCTCAAATGTAAATGGTCTGGGGGGACGACTAGGAGGGTAAAAGGATGTCTCCTTCCCAGGTTGAGCACCTGAGAAGGAGAAAAAAGATGTGTAATTGCTAAGCACCTCCATCATATACCTCCCAAAGTATAAAGGTGGTGACCACACTGGGAACATAAGCCAGATCAGTTTCATGATCAAAGATTCTATTGTATTACAAGTCATTACCATAAAGTACAATGGGATAAAAACCTTAGCCCAAGCCCCACACTTGAAAAACACTAATACAGCAAGTACCGGATGGACATAAGATATCATATACTGAAACTGTGAGATCAAGAGGAACAACCTTGAGAGCCAATAAATCAGCATTGTGACGAGTGACTATCAATCCAGTCAGATCTGTTCTTATCTCAACCCTTCGAGCCCCACGTTGGGCGCCAAAAAGAACTGTCGTGGTTTAAACCCAGTCAGGTAGCTTGTTCACTCACTCCCAGTGAGTGGTGCCGAGCTGACAACAATCGAGGTACGTGTCCGTCTCCACCCCCCTGCCTCCCCGCACCGGGGCTCTCCCCTTCCCCGCTCCCGGAGGAACAGGGAGGAGGATCGAGAGAGTGCAACTCCTACGGGTTGAGACAAAAACAGTCCAGCAACAAATCACCACCGCTACTATCAGCTACAACAATGATAAGGGAAAATAACAAGGGAAGAGAATACGATACCACCGGCCAAGAGAAACGAGCTCCACCCGGAAGCCCCTGTCCTTCCGGGTAACTCCCAGTTACCCCTCACCCCGGGCATGACGTGCTGTGGTATGGAATACCTCCCCGGCTAGCCCGGGTCAGGCGCCCCGTCTCTGCTTCCTCACAGCCTCCCCTCCTCCCTGGCAGAGCATGAGCCTCACAGAGTCCTTGGTCAGGGTAAACATCACTTAGCAACAACCGAGAACATCGGCTTCACCAACACTGTTCTCAAACTGGAAGTCAAAACACAGCACTGTACCAGTTAACACAAAGGAAAAACATGACTGCTACTGCGGAACCCAGGACATATGCATTGGGAGATATATTATGATGTGGCCATAGTCTTCCCACTCAAAGTATTCAGACACATTTTTCGTAGAATCATAGCATGGTATGGGTTGAAAGGGACCTTAGAGATCACCTAGTTCCAGCCCCTCTGCCACAGGCAGGGACACCTTCCACTAGACAAGGCTGCTCGCATCCAACCTGGCCTTGAACACCATCAAGGATAGGGCAACTGCAACTTCTCTGGGAAACCCGTTCCAGTGTCTCACCACCCTCGCAGTGAAGAAATTTTTCCTAATATGTAATCTAAATCTACCCTTTTCTTATAGTCTCTTCAGACGTCATTTTTTGCAGAATCCTGCTGTCTTAGTTCAAACTGTGCTATTAAAAGATTGGAAGAGGTTTGTGATGTTGATTGCCTGGATGATATTATTAAAAATTCAGGTTAATTCTTGGCATTTTTGAGGGCATACGTTTATAGGCAATTAGGAGAGCTAATAAAAGACATACAGGTACATAGTCTGTGACATAACCTGGAAAAGAGTCTAAAAAAAATTAATTTACATGGCACTTTCAGACTGGACCTCAATACACAGTCAAAGCACTCAGCATTAAAGAAATCAGAGCCACTATACTAAGCAATAGAGCGCTGAGTGTCTTTGCAAGCATCTCTTTTTTTTTTTCAGGTGAGCTATTTTTGTACCGTAGACAATGACAGTTTTCTTCAGCTTAGATATTTTATGTTTTTTTTTCATTGTGCAATAGTTCCTGGGAAAGGGTTGTGCAGTGAGATGGCAAGATATTCTGATGGCACTGAGTTATTTAAGGTAATAAATATGGAAGTTGTTGGCAGAGATTGCAGAAGGACCTCATGCAGAGTGACTGGGTAATAAAACAGCAGATGAAATTCATTGTAGCTAGTGGCTTCAAGGGGGAAAACCCTTGAATTTGCATTCAAAATGATGGCTGTGAAATAGGAAAGTTACCTTAACTTTAGGATAGCTCTGTAATTATGTCAGTCCAGTATTCAGTAAAGGTAAAACAAAGGGAAAACAAAACAGATCTAGTATTTAGGAATTATTAGAAAAATGAAAAATCATAACCACCCTGAAGTAGAAAATACAGTCATGCCTCCAGGTAAGTTCTCTGGTGTGAATGCATACTAAATGCTGTGTTTTGTTCTGATTCACTTGTCTTTGAAAGTGCAAGAGGAATCTCAAGTGATAAGAAATAACTTCCATACATAGAACAATTAGATGTATTTTTTTGGCCTGGAAAAGGCATGGTGAGAGGAGGGGAGAGGGATATAAGAAATATAAAATGGCACTGAGAAAATAAGAAATTCTATCTTCTCAAGAAATACAAGGGCTCAAGAGCATTAAATGAAACCTGCAGGTGGAAGATTCAAAACGCAAGGAGGTGGCTTTTTACACAGTACATAGTTAATACATTTTACTTGCTGGTACAAGATGTTGCAGACAGTAAAATGCACGTTGGTGCAAAAAGCCGTTGCACATTGTCATGGAAGACAGCATTCCACTGAGGGCTGTTAAGTGCAAAGACACTGTCCTTGGCTCAGGAAATCTCTGAACCACAAATTGCTAAGTCTGTGAGACTTTATATTCAAGAAGCATCTCCATGTATTTGCCCTGTTTTTCAACTCTTCCCTAGAAATCTGTTATTGGTAAGTGTTGGCAACAATATATTGGACTAGATCTGTGGGCTGACATGCTACTACCAGTCAGGTTCTTTTTGCGTAGAAGTAGATTAATAAAAAAGTTGGAATGAGGTTTTAGTGAGAATATCTAAGAATAGAAGGTGAAAGGAAGTGATGTAAAGGGCAAGCTGCCTTGAGAAACAGGATTATGCTAGCAATATCTTTGGAAAATATGGAATGGAGAGGCAAAGAAAACAAAGTTAAGGAAACCTGAGATCAAAAATAGGATCTCTCTTGACTGATAAAAGACTGGAATATAAGGAAGGCAGAAAATTGCAAAAAGTGTAAGTAAAGAGAGTCAAGTTGACTTAATTACCGCAGAAAGTAAAGCCAGATTATATTTATTTAAGTAATTTTATGATTTTTTTTTCCCAGTTTAATGGGTTAAATAAATGCAGATTGTAGTTTGCCTCACTAACACTTGATCTAAAGTAAGACAATATAAATGAAATCCTTTTAACTTTCATTAATTACACTTCCAGTAGCGTGTTTAATGCTGTTCCAAATGTCTTTCTACTGAGGGGAAAAAAAAAGAAATGTAACAACATCAACCAAAAGTACTTTTTTGCTAATGCTGAGGGAGTAGGCAATTTAATGTATTATTATGAGAATTCATTGATAACAATGGGTGATTATGACCACTGTTGTCTAATGACTGTTAATTATTATCACAAAGAATGAGACTAATGGTAGGTCCTTCTTTTCAGCTAGAGTTAGCTGTGAAGGAATATGAATATTAGCAATACAGGCTATTTCCTCTAAGTCAAGGGTCATTCAGACTGACAAGAAAATTATATTTGGCTTAGAACTACAAAGAATAAAATTAAAAAGCAATGAGGGCTCCCAAAAAGTTATTTACAAGATGTTCCTCACAGCTAGATCTTATTTTGGGCTACATATGCGTTACATGAAGGGGCATAACTTGCCATGGTAACTGTTTGGGGAGATTGTGGATGTAACAAGGTAAGAATGCATGAAGACCTAAGGCTGTGATAGGAATAATAACTCTGATGTGTTTTTTTTCTCAGCACATTGTAGAGAACAGCCTGACACAGACAGGAGAATGGACCAGATGACATAATTCTTTCTAAAAATCATCTCTTCCTTTGTTGCTTTCTGATCCTCATGCTTTTTCCTGACTGGTGGCAAATTGGTTGGCAACAAATAAAAATTATAGCGCCTGTTTCTACTATCCATCTGGGGTATTTTAATGTCACCCACACACATGCCCATGTATCTAGCCACCCACTCATATTATCTCTTGCACGGAACACATTCATTCTCTCACTCACATAATTTATTCATCCCAACATGCACTAGTGTAGTTGCCATTTAGCTTTTGTTTACTGGTAGCCGTAGCAATATTTAAACAGATGTCTATTTACATCCGAAGAGCACATCAATTCTTGCCTGTATGCGTGCACAGTGTTAGTTAGAGTTTCTAATGTCAGTATCTTCCTTTGTTTGTATAGTCATCAACAATGTCAGTATTTCTGCTCAGAGTTAAATAATATGAAGCTTCCCATTAGAAAAATAGGATGTCTTAGAATATAAGAGACTTTGAATTGTTTAAAAATAGAATGCTTTATCCAAACCAAAGTTCTGTTTATAAGGCCTATCCTGATACTTGAAAAACTTTCTGTTTCAGTTATGAGGGACTGGTTGAATTTCAATTTTCTTGAGATTTCTGTAAGTAACTTAATGGTCAGAGGTTTCTTTTGACCAAAAATAGTGGGATGTTTTTTGTAATAAAGCCTGGAATTCAATGGTCATGAACTAGGAAAATGTACATATTCAAGGGTCCACATATTTTCTGGGGGTCTCCAAATGTCAGATGATAATACCTTGTTTTACTATCAGAAAGGAAAAGATACTTCAGCATTGAAAGGAATATGACTCTCCAAACATAATCTTCTTAAAGATGATAAAATATATAGTTGAATCAATTCACTGTTCATTTTACCTTTGCCTTCTCAGGTTTGTATCTTTGAAATGAGAGCAGTAGACCTTGGACAGTTAAGCAAAGTGCTTGTTGAGCACCATGATGTGGGTTATGGAGCTGGATGGTACCTGGACCAAATTGTCATCCATGAATCAGGCAAGACTGATGGTGAATATGCATTTCTTTGCCAGCAATGGTTAGACAGTGGAGTTGGTGATGCACAGATGGAACGAATGTTGAAACTTCTTGGAAAAGTCAGGAATGGAAAGTTGACAGGGAAGATTTATGGTAAGGTCCAAAATCATCAAAGCCCCTTTCAGATTTTGTTTTAATTGTTTTATTGTTTGTTTGAGTTTTGTGTGTGTGTCTGTGTGTGTTGCTTTTAAGATTAAAACCAAACCATAGATAATATAGCTTAAACTTGAATTTCATGTCTCACAAAATTTGCCTTTCCAAACACTTTCCAGAGCTGGTAAATACTATTATAAAGTTCAGGGAAGAAACACTAGAGAAGAAGGAAGATATTAAGTGATAGAAGCAGTGAAGGAACTGTGTTTTTAGTTGAGGCTAGAAAAAAGTTGAAGCAGAAAGAGGTAGGTTGTTCCATATGGCAGTTAATGCAGAGCAGAAGGCTGCTGCAACAGTGATGAAATCACAAGAAGAGATACAAAAACTCTTTTAGCAGAATGAGATTTTCCCGTATGTTCACATATTTGCAGAAAGCATTTGCTTTTATTTGCAGTTTTCTTTTTTTCTTACATCAATGGCACAAGTTCTCGGAAACAGTTAGTTGACCTGTACAAAATATCCTATTCAAATTATCTAATGAAAAAAAGACCAAAATTCAGAAACAACATAGACACTGAAAACATGATAAGCCTTTTATGCTTTGCCAGAGTACTGGATTTTTTAGCTCTCTCATGTCTTTTTGAAGAGGTGTAAAGTGTGGTTTTGGGTCCATTTATGAAATCTGAATCAGAACTGGTAGACCAAACTATGTAAAGTTTGACTAATCTGAAGGTGTGAATTTGCATTCCATATCAGCAGTTTTGTAAATTGATCTTTTTTAATTTCTATGCTCATGGATATTTCACTGTATGTTCAGAGAGTTTTACATGACATACAGCCACAGGCACAGCTATAGTGTATATCTTCATATTTAGTTACCTGTACTTAGTCCACTAGTGAATATCTTATATCATCTAAGAAAATAAAAAAAATAGTGGTGACAAGACAAGAGAGACAGAATACTATGGAAGTAAAAGCATAGGATGAGCAGCTAGACTAGTGACAATTTCAGAATAAAAGAATATACTTTAGACTTAACTAAAAAGAAGAAGATTAATGTAGCTGCTCTTAAATTGTGTCAGACAAATTTATCAATATATTTATCAGATTTACCATTATAGTTAGCATGTTATAGCAGCGTATGGTACTGTATGATCCAACAGAGATAGTATTTCCATTTAGTCTTCCTAGGCAGCTATACACTGATAGTTTAAAGGCTTAATATTTCAAAACAAATTCTATTGTACCACTGCAAGTATTCCAGGTCTCTAAAAAAATGGATTCCATAGGTGCCCTACATAACCCACAGAGCAAGGCAGGTGTCTCCTGAGGTTAATTCAGAGCAGAAGCCCAAGACTGGTCAGTCTGTTGCATCTTTCTTTGCTGATAATGTGAAAAGTGAGGGAAATCTTGCATCCTTGCTTATGCACTTTAATTAGTGTCTGAACATAGCTATGTAAAAATGTTTTCCTTCCTCTGTTTTTCATACACACATAGTCCTCAAAAATCTGAGCGCAGACTTGCTAATATTTTCCAGTCTATTACAATTAATACTCAGCTCTGTATCTATTGAAAATCGGTTCTGCCTGGGTGTCTAACTTTAGAAAGAATATGACAAGTGAGAGAGCCTATAAGGAAAGGAGAAATAAAAGACTGATCAGCAAAGAGTACTGTACCTTCGAGGTCACAAAGTATACAGATACAAGGTACTTACTAAATGTCAAGCTGACTCCGATTTTATAATAGAATTAAAACAAATAGTAAAGGTTCTTCAACTGTCTACTTATAAAAAGAACCCTAAAAGATGTGTAACTATGCAGGAACAATAGAGTTCAGACTGAGGTGATGAAAGTAAAATCCTAAACAAATAGAACACTTTATCTCTGTTTTCATTAAGGAACCATAACATTGGAAAGGAAAGAAAATCAAAAATTACTAATGGGAATGAGGTTATTGGAAATCACCAAATCTGAACTGCAAATAAAATTTCAGTTTTCACGCAGTCAAACACTGACAACCAAGGGAACCCCAGAATACTGAAGGAACTGGGAAAACAAAATGACAGAACTAGTAGCAAGTATTTAAAACAATTTTATGAAGACAAAAGGTGTGACTTGAAAATAGCAAAGGTAATACCTCCACCTGAAAAATACAAAGCATAATGTAGGTGACTATAGATCTTACACTCTTCTCCCGCTCCAGCATCAGGTCTCTCCCATGGGAGACAGTCCTCCCCAACTTGTCCTTCCCATGGGCTGTAGTCCTTCATGAACTGCTCCAGCATGGGTCACAAGTCCTGCAGCAAACCTGCTCCAGTGTGAGTTCATCCTTCCATGGAGCCACAAGTCCTGACAGGAGTCTGCTCGAGTGTGGGCTTCCTACAGGGACACAGCCTCCTTCAGGCATACAAACCAAATACACTCTTTTAGACTTAACTAACAAGAAGAAGATTAATGTAGCTGCTCTTAAATTGTGTCAGACAAATTTATCAATATATTTATCAGATTTACCAATATAGTTTGCATGTTATAGCAGCTTATGGTACTGTATGATCCAACAGAGATAGTCCTTCCATTCAGTCTTCCTAGGCAGCTATACACTGATAGTTTAAAGGCTTAATATTTCAGTACTAAAGGGCTAAAAAAATCTTGGATTACACACAGGAGATATAAATTTTCATTTGACTTCCATTTTTTCATGGGTATAATGTAGTTATAATATAATTGTATTTAGTGTTCATAGACATGAAAATAGTAGCTATTTATGATTATTCATGAAGTCATAACATGAATTTGAGATAATTTTAAAGATGGTGAGTACTAACTTTTAACATTCACCAAGTCCTGAATTTATGGCACAGATCCTCACCTGATCTAAAGTAATAAAGTTTTATTTGCACTAGTTTATGGTAGGAGACAAAGGTTTGCCTGTTGTGGTTAAGAAGTTGGAATTTACAGGACTATAGATCTAAACTCAGAAAGTCACTGTTTCCATTACTCTAAAATATCCTACTCTACAGAATGGCTAGCTGAAATCATTAAATACATACTTTGCCCCACTTTACATAAGCAGAGCTGTTATCTTAATAAAAAAATGGTCATGCTCAATTCTACACCAGCCCAGGTGACCAAAACCGCTCTGTAGGAGTTATGATTTAAAAAATGGAATGCATGGGTTCGATAGCCCTCAGTTTTTCATATATTTTATCAACATGAATTAAAACATGAAAACTAGATAAATCAGTGGGATTTTGTTTTGATGGGTACAAGTTTCTGATCATGAGAACTATCTTGTTGATTGGAGGTTTAATTGAATATCTGTTCAGTATAGAGATAAAGAAGTTACTCAGAAGCCTACCTGCTATCAGTCTGCAGTCCTTAAGAGCCCTCAGGTGACCGCCAATTCATCTAGAATGTTTAAGAGACTAAGTGCCTCAGAACAGACCTTTAGTTTGAGCACAAGCTACTATTCTTTACATTCATTATATTCTTCAATATAATTTTGCAGGTTTTGGTGTGGTTTGGGTTTTTTTAAGTAAAACTGCTGGCTTTGAGTTTTTTCTGTGTCCCTCAAGTAGGCAAATTTATGTGCTGTTATATAAGACTCTTTTAAATCTCTCAGCAAACATCATTTCACAGAAGAAATAGATAATTGTGATGATCTGTGATAGAAATATTACATTTCAAGCACCAAACCAGTTTATCTCATCATCATCTTGCTATAGAATATATGGAGCATATTTTCCTATTCTAACTTAAGTAGCTTCTCAGAAAGTTGAAACAAAAGCTACCCTGCCCTGACCAAAGGCAAACTTTATAACCAGTACTACCTAGTAGAAAATATGCTGCTTTTTAGTAAGAAACAAAATTTAAATCAGCAGAAGAAACATTTATGATGGGAAAAAATCAGCCAATTGGCATGACTCTTCATAAATCTCTAATATGGAACTGGCAGTCTTATCTGCATAATGCTATTGGAGTGGCCCATCTCTAAAGGGTCAGCTATCATTGCAGAAGGGCTGCTGTACAAATCTGTTTCTCACTAAATCAGTGATAATGAGTGAACCTGTTAAGTGCAAATGCTTTAGCTCAGTGCAAAGGTGGGGATAGGTTGCACTCACTAATTCAGCCTGTTATAAATTGCTGTATTATTTTGGATATTCAGCAAATCCATAATTTTTTTTCTGCTATTTTCTGTCAACAGGGACCTGGGATGTCCTTGTCACAACTAGTGATATTTTCTGTAGTTCCATGAATCCTAAAGTGTCTCTAAGTGTATGCGGTGGAAAAGGTATCTGTACTTCAGTCATATTCCCCAAAGGATCCCTTAAAAATGGGCAGATTTATGAAACTTCAATTGAACTAAATAAGAAATTCAATACTATATACAAAGTTCGCTTAGAAATTGAAGATGCTGAAGAAGGAGAGAGTTGGTATTGCCGTGAGGTAAAAAAAAATCAAAACCTGAAGAAATTACTTACTGTGTCCTTATTGTAAAATTCTCCTTTTTTCATATTCTATGGTTATTGCTTCCAGTTTCTAGTTCTGTCTGAAATGACATAATTTTTAATTTATAAGAGTAAGTGCTGTAGTAACAACAGTTGTATAATGTGGAAACTGCTCAAAACACTTAGTAGAATAGCTATAGATAACAAAAATCTTGTAAACTTAGGTGGATTTCTGGAGGGCATATATACAGATGTGCTATCATCTATAGCATATCCAGTAGTGTCTTTTCAGAACCGTACCCAGTGGCATATAATATTTACATAACTCCAAATTGGCTGTTACATGTTTTGATCCAAAGCAAATAATTAAACCAGACACTAGAAATGCATTTTGATGAAAATGTCTGCCTTTTAAGTTGGCATGTGAAAAAAAGAAGTGAATAGCAGAAACGACAATCTTTCTTCTGATGTCCAAGATGCTGAAGCTAAAATCTGACATTGCACTGAAATTGCTGTGACATTTCACTATACAAAAAATATCTCTATCCTCTTATGCTGGCAAAATAAAAAGAAGTCTAAGGGAAAGAATATCTTTCTTTCAAACTGCACTCACACTTCTGTCCATTAATGTTTGTATTTTGTTCTCATTAAAAAATGGAGGAAAAAAAACAATTTCCCTGTCCATTAGCTGGTAATATTGAGTGAAGCCCCCCAATATTTAAATGGTAGTTTGGTTTTTAATTTAATCTTCATAGCCAGATGAATTAGTCATCTAAAAAAATCTGTTGATAAAATGCCTCTTGGATGTTGTAGGAGACAGTGGATCACAGTAAAAAATTCAGAACAGAAACCTGACTTAAAAGCCGTGACATCTATTAGGCTGTTTTACTTCATTATCTCAGAACAATGACTCAAAGCTGAGTTAGAAAAAAATCAACATCATTTCTATAAGTAAGGTAAAGATGCACATTTAAATTATGTAGGATTAGAAGGAGAAATGTAAATTGCTAGGGGTTTAGGAAGATATTTCCTTTGTTATTCCACAAATTCCATAGCAGGACTGACTGAATCTTTATATGAAACAACTAGGTTGGTATAAGAGGTTGTGGATAATATCAGTTATTAAAGACAAGTCAGCAGTTTGTTTTCACTGCTGATTAGAACCACAATGTTAATTTCTATGCTATTTTATTTTGCTCTTACAAGATTGCAACTCACAAAGATTTCCCCCTTCTAGTATAAGTAAATGCAGGTGCAGCTGGTTGAATTCCATATTTAAATTCAGAATTCACTTTTATAACCATAACCGCAAAATAACTGTCTTAATGTTCTTGAGAAAATTGAAGTCATTATAAAAAAATGTCCAGAAAAATATTAATTAAGATACGCTTTATTTCTGAAGCATGTAATAGTTAACATCTTTATTCTTGCTTCTTTCACTTCTTGAAAAATAAAGCACAGTAAATGAAATCTGATTTTCAAGGAACTGTTCAGGAATATAGATGTTAGTATGAAAGGGAAATTGTATTAACATTACACTTTATTAAAAAAACCAACCAAAAAACCTTTTCAATTTGTCTCTCATAATGAAAAATAATTGGAGTGTTTTGAAGACAAAATGATGCCCCTATCTCCCAATGACACTTGTTAACCAAAGATGGTTGAGCTTACTGGGTTAAGCATTTGGTCATTTTAGGGAGTTAGGTAATGAAAAATGCATGAGTGAATTCTCTAAGCCCTTTTCAAATCAGGGTTCAGAAAATATGTTTATTAGTATAGCTGGTAGTATCATAGTGTAAGACACATTCTTAAAATATGTTCTTATAGTAAGACTAAGCTACTTAGTATCACCCCTTTATTACTTTACATACAGCTTTTCATAGATTAAAAATATTGAATAACATACTCTATATATTCATACAATACATATGTACATATATATACAGATACCATAAAGCATTCTAAATTTCTGTTTTCCAGTTTTTCCGAGAAACACTTCATTCTCTTCCTCCCATTACTTCGAATGAGAAAACATTCTGCACTGAAAAATGTGGCATATTGACATTTCTCACAAGCTGAAATGGGCATATTGACTCTTCTTTTTCTTCCATATACTAGATGAATAGGTTACATAAAAGAACCTTTTTAACCATTCCAAATATTTTTCCTCTTACTGCAGTCTCTACAGCAATACTGTTGACAGCATTTTAATTATTTTTAATTGGGAAAGATATTTTTTCCTTCTCTTTTAAAAGTCTGCTTTCAAAAACATTTTTTTAAAACTTTCTCTTCTTTTTTAATATTGAGATGATGCATCATAGCTGTTTAGTAGTATGTCTTTTTCTATAGTTTCCATTAGAGCACAACAGATGCTGAAGGTATTTCTTTTTTGCTCTTTGCTAAGGTAAAGCTTCAACACAGAGAAAGCAAAAGTGTTCTCGAATTTCCATTTTGTTGCAACTTTTCAGATGAAGGAGGAAGAGTGGCTGAGCTTCCAGTTCTCACACTTGGCTCTCCTTTTCCAGCAGGTTTGTCAAAAATCAGAAACATGACAAAAAATTTGTTCAGTAATGATGCCTGATTTGCAGAGCAGTCCAAAGGATTTAGCAGATATTTTCTATTCATTTTAGCTAGTGATGCACGGCCAGGTCCAAACCCCTCCAGTGTTTAAAAAAGAATATCTCAGACCCTGTAACTGAGCATTGTGCATTCAAGTCTGATTGGTATCAGTTTGTGACACATAAAAGAGCAAGCATACAGCCCTGAAAATATTAAAAAAGTTTTGAACAGTACTCAGAGTTCAGCTTCTTCTCAATAATATGATTTGGTTCTTTCCCAGAGGAAACAAAGGAAATACAGAGGAAATAACTCTCATAGTGTAATTTCAGATAAGAAGGAGATCCATGGCCCCTCACAACAGGTCATCTGTTTGTGTTCCTGGAATTTCAGGCATTTTTCTTCTGTGACCTAGCAGTTAAACATCATCAAATTCCTTCATGCAAGTTATGCCTTCACCCAAAGACTGGGTTCTTTTAGTTTGCTCTGTGTTTCTTAGTAAGTTTTATAACCAAAGTTAGTGATGAATGGAAGAGCTGTTATCCTAAATGGGTATTCTGCTGTAAGAATACCATAGTCTCCTCCAAGTGTTTCCCAGGAGTTAAGGGTTTAGATCAATAGTCCAACTAATCTGTGTATTCCTCACGTTTTCTGCTGTGCTTTCAAAGCTATTCTCAAAAAAATGCACTTGGGCAGAAGCTCCCTGAATACGAATTTGAGAAGAGTAATGCTGGGGTATTCCCTGGGAAGGCTCTTTGTCTTTTAATTTTTTTAGTTTCTTTTTTTCTGGAAGAACACAGGCATTTAAATGTTTACAAATGCTGCTCCTCTGAAAAAGGAGCATTTAACATGAGGACAGATACTGTTTTCTTTACTTTATCCTGGTATTTTTCCCTCTTTTTCAATTGAATGTTTCGGGGATGCGGCTTCTTTCTTATTCTGGGGGGCCAGATCACCAGTGTGTTATGCATTTCTCTAGGAGTACAAATGGGTACTTAACACAAACAGTCAACCAAGAAATGCTCAGCTGAAGAGTTGTAAGATGACACATCAGAGAACACACAACATTTCTGGAAATCCTCTGCTGAGGCCACTAACTGCAACTGGTACAGTGTAGAATGGCCATCCGCTGACTGGACCATAATCCGGAGGAAATACAAAAGTTGCTGTCTTTGTGACAGGGTTCAGCTTCATTTGAACTCCATGAGCCTCAGAGCAGAGATGAGTTTTCTGAATAATTTAGTATCATCCATCGCCCAGGAAATGTTTCATAGGACTGTTTGTTACATATTTAAATGTATACAAGTGTGCGGTTGAGTATTATTTACATGCTTTTAGAACAATTTGTGATGTGTTTCTTGTTCTTTCATTTTCTCTTCTGCCTGTGTTTCAGGCCCACTCACAAGCTATTTAGCTTATTATTCCTTATAATAGTGGTTCTTAGGTTTTAATTACAATGCTTCTATGTGCTTTTCTAAGCATTATAATATAGTTTAGCCCTTTGATCACAGTGGGAAGGACTAAAAATTAATAGTACTAATTTATTAAATAACACATTTTTTAACTGAGTAAGCTTTGGTAAACCTTTGATCTCTTTTTCCCAACAGTGAAAACCTATGTTCTCTATATTACTACGGGAGCATCCCATGGTTCAGGAACTGATGCTGATGTGTATATCATGCTGCAAGGCCTTTTGGGAGATACTGGCAGAAGAAAGTTCATCAGGAAAGGAGATGATAATTTTACTAAAGGAAAGGTACACTTACAATTTATGCATGATATTTTGCATGTTTAGAATCCACTCCAATTCACATGGACTTAATGGCAGTAGGACAGACTCTACAAAGCCCAGTTTGTGATGCTCTGTGATTTTAAGTACATGGGTATATCAATATCTCTATCTTATGTGGGAAATACTGGTGCTTATATAGCTGATGTTAACAATACCGACAATAAAGTTTGCTTTTAGGATCAATTTTTGCAAATATTGGTGGTCTTCAGTGGCATGCCAGTGTTTTTCCTGTGTATTTGCTGCACAATAGAGCTAAAAAGAGGATCAACTCCCTTTAACAATTCCTTTCTTCCTGTTCTTCAGGCTAAGGCTCCTTTCCCTGGCTATTGCCTTTCCACTGCCAGTCTACCCCTCAGTCTGGCTTTTGGTCTCCCTCCAGACAGTCAGCTGCTACCCTTTATAGTTTTCTTAGGTCTACCAAGATGGTTATTCCCTCACTGGGCAGGTGTGAGTCTTGCAGCTCATACACATAGACTAGGGAAAGAGCATCATAGCTGCCAGAGATGCATTTGTCTGTAACGTTGTTATTATCGACTGAAATTAGAGGGAATTTAGTGTCTGAATGTGCTGTAGAAATGTGGGACAGATTTACAGCAAGATGCATGTATTTGACAAAAACCTTAATCCCTGTTGGAAGCTCTGGACAGGAGGAGTGAAATTTTCAGCTGAAAAGGTCGCAGGATGTTTTAAGCATGGAAAAAACAAAGTGTATTTTCTGTGGATCTTTCTTTGAAAACAAATTTGAGGATTAAAACAATTTAAGATTCTGAAAAAGAATCTGTTACAGAATATTGGAGTTGGAAATTCTGAGTTAAAGTTTATAAGAAGAAACACCAGTGTCTTGCAACCAGAAACACTGATCATATTTTATGTTAGACGGTCCTACCTGTCTTTCTTATAGTGTGTGTACTCTTCTACCTTCCTGAAATCTCAGTGAATACACTGAATACGGTATTCTAACCTGTTCCCCTTTTGGAAATACCAATTAGTAAATTATTTCCTTCTGCTGGTGTTGGCTCACAGATGAATGAGAATTTCTCTACGGAAGCAAGCTTGCAAATCAGCTTAGATTGATAACCAAAGCAGACGCATGATATGTAGGATTAGGAGCTCAGCTCGTAACTACCTCCAGCTTCATTAATTCAGTGGGAGTTGAAGAGGGTCATTATCTTACTGGATTTTGCCTACTTGAAATGCTTATTCATAAGAAAGGGGGGAGAGTTTAAATCTTTATTTTTAAGGGACAAAATACTTCTGTATGAGGGTACTCAGTTTGGACAAAGGCACATTTGTCTTCCCTAATGTAATTCAGGTTGCGGCTTATTGATAACTGATTTAATTGTATTTTAGTAGCTGCAGTTCTTTTGTCCTTATGAAGTAAAGTTAGTTTAATGTAAATTTTACTGGATTTCTCCTTAAATCAGAATTCCACAAGTGAGCAATCTGATTTCCAGACTGGTAGTTTTTAATGAAGAGGGACCAGGGATGCATAAACACAAGTGTTCCTGAAGAGAACAGAAATGAACTAGAAAGATTTATAACCTGAAAGGTGTTTTTATAGTATTAGTGTGGCACAGAATTATTCTGTTTTACAGAGTAAGAGGCAGAACTAGCCTGTACTTATCTCTTCATTACTTACTTGACATTTTATAGGAACAGTGTGCGAATGTAACACAGTATCCTTATATTTCTGAAAATAGATATCAGCATAGGAATATTTTAGGGCCCTAAAAAGAAATAGCTTGTAGATAAGTAATAGAGAAACACAGAAAAGTATTGATTTTCTCCTTGTTCAGTGAAAATAATTTGGTCAATTGACAAAGCATAAATTGATACTGCAAGCGTGACTCCTGCATTTGCAGCAACATTTTGCTCATGACATGTTTTGGAAAGTTCCCAATGTTTTCTTTTCTTTACTTATATTCTCCAAAAAGACTCTCAAGTGTAGAGCATCTCTTTCTATACCAACCCAATCACATATTGTGCCAAGCACCCCTGCAGTCAGAGAGTCTGGACTTGGTGGTTTAGGGGATTTTGGAGTATAACAGACAGAATCTGCCTTCTGAATCTTAACAGTTGTTCTGACATTTTAAAATGTGCTTTTCCTTGCAATAATTTTTCCCCTGACTATACAGTAACAGCTAGTGAACTGGAACAGTGTTTCTGTTAGAAATCACATCAAAATATGGTGTTAATCTCACAGAATGTCAGGGCTGCCACAAGCAACAGTTTAGCAATGCAGAAATACATAAAAACATTTAAATATTCAGGGGAATTTGCAGTGGATTGGAGATATGTTTCTTTCATTTAACAGATCTTTTATTTACATGAGCTGAGTTACATGATAGTAAAAGAGTGAATTAACTTATATCTGAAAGGTTGTTTTGTGTCTTTCCAAAGTCCTTACACCTGTGAAACCTTCAGAGAATTGACAGATCATAAAATCATGGAATGGTTCAGGTTGGAAGGGACGTTAAAGCTCATCTGATTCCAACCCCCCTGCCATGGGCAGGGACACCTTCCACTAGACTGGGCTGCTCAAAGCCCCATCCAACCTGGCCTTAAACACTGCCAGGGCTGGGGCAGCCACAGCTTCTCTGGGCAACCTGTGCCAGTGCCTCGTCACCCTCACAGTGAAGAATTTTTTCCTTAATTAAAATTGGATTTAATCTAAATCCACCCTGTTTCAGTTTGAAGCCATTCCGCCTTGTCCTGTCACTACATGCCCTTGTAAAAAGTCTCTACCCAGATTTCTTGTCAGCCCTTAAGGTACTGGAAGTAAAAAGTCTCTATCCAGATTTCTTGTCATCCCCTTAAGGTACTGGAAGGCTGATGTAAGGTCTCCCCAGACCCTTTTCTCCAGGCTGAACAAAGTAATGAATAAGTGATAAAGTGATGTGCATGATATTATTAATTCACTGGTAAGTTCCCTGTAGCTCACCCCATGTCTGAGAGAGCAGCTGAGCTTCTGATGATCTATTCAGACAAACGAGCGTGAGAACTAGTGCTGCGAGAACTTTATTCTTTAAAATTACTATGACACTGATGCCTTGTTTGATGTTCCCCTAAAACTGTGAGGGTAGACAAAGCAATCTTGGCGCACTTCTTACAGTTCAGCTTTCATGAAATCCTAATAGTATTTATTCATACTTCATGAGTCACTTTAGGGCTGATAAATGTTACCTGCTACAAACACTTTCTTGAACAAAGTATACTCAGTGCAGACACTCTGGAAATAACAGGGCCCGTTTTTGTGAAATCCATACAATACCTCCATATTGCTTCTGGCACCCAACATTTTTAAGCGAATAAAATTCTTCATGCTTCTTTATGTGGTCTTTTATAGACTTGCTGTGTACTCTGTCATATGGCTGTGAGTTACCCACAGATTGCCTCTTCGAAAATGGCTTTTTTTTCAGATCAATTCGAACAAAGCCAGTAAACTACAACTGAATATGTTATGACTGATATTTAAGTATTTTAATCTCGGTATGATGAGAGCGGACAGTATTTTAAGTCTTCTAAGTTACTGAAGCAGTAAAATCTCTGTGAATATTTACTTCATTCTATTAGTTGTCGAAAAGATATATCCTTTATCCTGCCCTATATTTAGACATTAACTGCTCAGGTTGGTACCATGGTAACTGCAGCACATACAAAAATTGTCAGTGGAAGGTGACTGTTGGTGTTCAATTTCAGTACTCACAGATTATGCATTGGCAATTTTAAAAAAATTACTTCAAGAAAAAATCAATGTGTTCCAGAATATACTAAGAAGGGTCAGAATGTGGGACAGTGTACTGTGAGACAGTGTACTGTGAGATAGAGTCCTGTGGCCACTAGCAGGAACTCAATATTCGTATGCAGTGTCCACATCCCATCCCATCTAGAATGCTAATGTTTTGTGACTGCAGAAAAACCTTATCTTATGGAAAGCCTATCTGACATGATTAAATAATTGCGAAATGCCATCGATCCAATCACAGTAGTATGCTGTTGGCCAAGTTATTATAGTACAGACATGAACACTAAAATGGTCTGGTCATCATAGGATCATAGAATCATTTAGCTTGGAAAAGACCTTTAAGGTCATCAAGTCCAACTGTTAACCTAGCACTGCCAAGATCAACACAAACTATGGCCCTACATGTCTTTTAAATGCCTCCAGGGATGGGGACTCCACCACTTATTTGGGCAGCCTGTTCCAATGCTTGACAACCCTTTTGGTGAAGAGTTTTTTTTCCCAATATCAACTCTAAACTTGCCCTGGTACAACTTGAGGCCATTTCCTCTTGTCCTATTGCTTGTTACTTGGGAGAAGAGACTGACCCCCACCTCACTACAACCTCCTTTCAGGCACTTTAGAAAGTGATAAGGTGTCCCCTGAGGCTCCTTTACTTCAGGCTGAGCAACCCCAGTTCTCTCAGCAGCTTCTCATAGGAGGTGTTGTCTGAAAACTTCCTAAGGGTGCACACAACCCCCTCATTCACATAATTTGTAAAAATAATAAACTAATTGAAAAAAGTAATTGATAAAAATATTAAACAGAACTGACCCCAAATTCCCTGGGGAGCACCACTCGTGGGCAGCTGCCAAATAGATTTAACTCCACTACTCTTTGGACTTAGCTACCCAGCTAGGTTTTTGCCAAGAATCAAAAACTCTATCATTTAATGATCAATATGGTGAAGGCATCCTCCAACCATCACATCACCCACAAGTCCTTCACTGTTCACAAACAACAGGACCAGTGGGGCACCTTCCTCATTTGGCTCCTTCACCAGCAGTGTCAGGAAGTTATTTTCCACATGCTCCAGGAACCTCCAGGACTGTTTCCTCTCTGCTGTATTGTACTTCCATTGGACATCTGGCAAGTTGAAGTCCTATGAGAACAATGGCTAGCGATTGTGAGACTTCTCCCATCTGCTTATAGAATATTTCATCTGCATCTTCATTCTGGTTGG